CCCTCGCAGCCTGCGTTGTTCCACCCGCCGCTCCACCATAGGGCCCGTGCAGACAGTCAGTTGCACCCCCTTCCCCAGGACCTGCACTCGGCCGTAGCGCAGGCCTCTGCTCCCCACTCTCCTCGCCGCCAAAACGCTGGCGCACCACTCGTCCGCCTGACGGACATTGCCTTGTATGACGGTACAGGCATACACGTGTCTCGATGGCTACAGTCTGCCACCCACACCCTCCAGCTCATGGGCGCCCCACCCGACACGTGGGTGACTCACCTCTCCACGCGCCTGCTTGGCGGTCCTTTCGACGCCTGGGAGGGTTTTTACGCTTACTCCCTTCGTGCGGGTCGGACTCCGACCTTCATGGATTTCCAGGCGTTACTCGAGGATCGCTTCGGAGCCCGACATGACGTGACTGATGCCTTCGAGCGTGTCGTCACTACACGTTGGTCCGGCACTGATGGCGCTGCCAGCCTGGATCGCCACATCCAGGTCTTTCAAAACGCCCGCCTCATTTGTGATGTGGCGTTTCTTCGCGAGGCTGCCCTTATCGATCGTTTCTTGGCCAGCCTTCCCCTTGAGTACCGCTCCGAGCTATGGCAGTACGAATTCACATCGGCCCCGCAGGCTTACGAGGCCTCCAAGGACCATCAGCGGATGCGGGCCCGTCTTCAACACACTTCCTCCTCCCAGCCTCAGCGTACTGGGATCGCCCCCTCCTCCTCTCACGACACTCCCCAGCGCCGCTCCCCTTTCCGCAGTCGCCCCCGCCGTTCCGCACAGCAGGGCCGCAACTTCTCGCGTCGCTTCAGCGCGCTCGAGTATGGTGAGCAGAACGTTGTTGCCCCGTTCTTGCCAGAGGCCGTACAGCAGGGCCGCAACTTCTCGCGTCGCTTCAGCGCGCTCGAGTATAGCGACGACCTCGACCTCGGCGAGGCCGTCCACTACCACCTAGAGGACTCTACTCTCCCTATGGCCGAGCGCCTCCAGCTCATCCTCTCCGCCCTCTCCCGGGCACGCAGCCGCCCCGGTCACGCTGGCGCGTCGCCCCCTGAGGTCCCTCAGCACGACCTCTCTCAGGGCTTTTCCCTCCTCGCGGTGTCCTTTCCACTGAGGAGCACGCGACCATTTTAGGCCGGCGTGGGTGTTTGCGATGCCGCCAGGACGGTCATACCTCCTTGCGGTGCCCTTACACTACGGCCCTCAACCTTTCCCGCCAGCGTCGTGCTCAGTACCCCCCCGGCGCCTCGCATCCCCGCGGCGCCTCCTAGCCACGGTGCAGTATACATCTGCGCCCTCCTCAGTAGTCGGCTTCCCGACATCCCTGTCGCGGTTTGCCCCTCTCGCTACTAGAGTTGAGGTATCGCAGGACCCGACAGAGTGTACTCAGCCCTCTGTCGCAGTACCGTTTGCGCCTCCGCAGACCACCGTCTGCCCTCCTACCCCTCTGCGACTACCGACACGTCGATCCATTCGCTCAGTCCGTTGCAGCAAGCAGCTTGCGACTTGCGAGGATGTTGTGTCCTCTCTTCTGGACTTGAGCATGCTTCAAGCTCGTCAGGAGCGATTCACCCTCCATGTCGCTGCACTACGTCGCCTCCTCACCATCCTCTCTGACCCTCATCGCACCCTCCCGATCATTCCAGTACAACTGGGGACCTCCACGAGGGTGTACTCAGCGCTGTGGGATTCCAGTTCTCAGGGCGACTTCATTCACCCACGTGTGGTGAAAGAAGCCCGCTTACCCACGACAGGGTCTCCGACTCCCATCTCTGTCAGCCTAGGGGATGACAAAACCCAACGCTTCTTCAATCAAACGGTCACCGACCTCCCTTTCTTCCTCACTCTCGAGCCAACTGATCGTCCCCCGGCATCTCGTCCCCACCGCTCCTCTGCATATTTCGATGTGATGGAGACGGGGTACGACTTCATTCTYGGCACTCCGTGGTCTCGTCGGTTCCGCAGCATCGAGGCCGATTGGGCGACCAACACTCTCGTTCTCAAAACGAAGTGTGGACAAACGTATCGCATACCTTCCATAGGTACCACCGTGAAACCACGCCCCGACCCTCCTCCCCCAGAGCCTTCCGTGCCCCCACACCATCACCTCGCCTCGGCAGTTCGCTCGCTTCATTCGACAGGACAACGTCACTTTATGGTGAACGTTACGGATCTCTTGCACTATTATCCACCCTGTCCCGACGTTGAGCTCATCTCTCTGGAGCCAGATCCTCCCTCTATCTCCATGGCTCCCATCTCTACTTCCGTCCCTCCGCCGTCCGTTGAGTTCACCCCGCCGTCGTGCGCTGACGCTGGCACTGAGGAACTCGCACATTATATGGTCGACCTGGAGCCCGCAGCGCATAACCTCATTCGAGAGTACCACGACGTTTTTCCATCGTCGTTCTCGTACGCCGGCATCCCACTGATGCACGACGTCGAGCATTCCATCAAGCTCGTGCCTGACTATCGTGTTCACCACCAGGCACCCTACAGACTCTTGATCCCCGAGGCCACCGAACTCGAGCGTCAACTTGAGGAGCTCCTCAGACAAGGTTTCATTAAACCCAACAACTCCCCGTGGGGTGCGTCCGTCCTCTTTGCTCGCAAAGCAGATGGAACTCTTCGTCTGGGTGCGCCCGTCCTCTTTGCTCACAAAGCGGATGAAACTCTTCGTCTCTGCATTGACTATCACGACCTCAACCGCTACACGATTAAGAACAGCTACCCCATGCCTCGTTCCAACGAGCTGTTCGCCCGCCTAGCAGGCAACCGCTTCTTTACGAAGATTGATCTTCGTAGCGGTTACCATCACATCCGCGTCACTGCAGTGGAGCAACCGAAGACAGTGTTCCGATCGCGCTTCGGCCACTACGAGTTTACGGTGATGCCATTCGGCCTCACCAACGTACCCGCTACCTTCCAGAGGGCGATGAAACAACGTCTTCGGGGACATCCTAGAGCAGTATGTTCTTGTCTACCTCCACGATATCCTGGTCTACGGTCGTACCCTTGAGGAGCATCTCAGACACCTCCACGATGTCCTTCACCGCTTGTGCAGACATGGCTTCTACTCCAAGCTGAGCAAGTGCCACTTTGCCCAGCACAAAGTGGATTTTTTAGGACACAACGTGTCTGACCAGGGTCTCCACATGGACGACGCGAAGATCACTGCTATTGCGGAGTGGCCCGTCCCCACATCCGCCAAGTAGCTTCGCAGCTTCCTAGGTCTCACTAGCTACTATAGTAATTTCATCCAGGGATACGCTAGGTATTCCTACGTCCTTACCTCAACCCTCCTCCGGAAGAACCCGCCATGGGCTTGGACACCCCTCCACGAGGACGCCTTCCGCGCCCTCAAGAAGGCGGTGACATGTGCACCGGTTTTTCACCTACCCGATTTTGATCGCCCTTTTATCCTTACCACCGATGCGTCTGACTTTGCTGTAGGAGCCGTGCTTTCGCAAAGTGTCCCACCTATTCGGACGTGAATAGTGCGAACCACCTGCCTTATGGTTTGCTTCAGCCTCTTCCTATCCCTGAGGGTCGTTGGCAGTCTATCTCGATGGACTTTATCGGTCCTCTTCGTCCTCCGACCCCCCGCGGTCATGATGCTATCCTGGTCGTCGTCGACCGCTTCATGAAGCGTGCACGCTTTGTTCCGTGCCGCTATGCCATCAATGCACGTGAGGTCACCGACATCGTGTTTGACCGAGTCGCGCGTGACCACGGCTTACCTCTGAGCATCATATCTGACCGTGACCCGTGCTTTACCAGCCGATTCTGGCGACAGCTCCACGAGGCGTACGACACCCAGCTCCACTTCTCCTCGTCTTACCATCCCCAAACCGAGATCACGAACAGGACTCTCGAAGATATTCCCTGAAAGTAGTTTCCCCAACCTGAAATCAGCAGAACCAAAGCACTGATGAGTCGGTGTACAGCGGAACCTTTGTGAGATTGTATTACAAAACGAGTTTGCGAAAGAAGTGTTTCCTGAAAGATTGTTCGTGACGACCAGCAGTGGGATCTCCATCTTGCCCACGCGGAGATAGCCTACAACCTCGCCGGCTCGCCAGCCACAGGGATGTCGCCTTACTATTGCGACAAAGGCGACCTCGGCTATCACCCTCGTGTTCCCGTGGACTTCCTTCGACCGTCACAGATGCACCCCGACACGAGTTGTCCCGCGCTGGATGATTGGGTTGCACACATGACGTCGATCATGAAGACCGCGCATGAGCACATAGCTGCTTCCCAGACTCGCATGGCAGCACGTGCGAACCGATCAAGGATGGATCATCCATTCAAAGTCGGTGATGATGTGCTTATCGACGCCCGCCACTTACAGCTCGAAGCGGACACGCTTCGCAAGTTTCGACGTCGCTTCTTTGGCCCATGCTGCATTCTCCAGGCCGTCAGTTGGGATATGGCTTCTAGCCTGGCCAGCTTCCGTGTGAACCTGCCCGACTACCTACGCCAGGCTCGTGTGCACGATGTCTACCACGTCTCGTTACTGCGTCCCTACCGCAGACCGTCTGAGCGTTTCGCTGGACGACCATACGAGTGCCCTCCACCCATCGTGGTGGACGACCACGAGGAGTTCCTCGTTTCAGACATCATTGGTCGCCGAGTCACCGACGACAACCCTTCCCATGTCGAGTATCTCGTACGTTGGAAGGGTTACCCTAATGAGGAGGCTACTTGAGAGCCCCTCGAGCACTTGCAGCACGCTCGCATGTTGGTGCGTGCCTATGACCGTGCTCGTCGTGTTGGGTTGACTGCTCCTCCTCAGCCCACTAACCCTCCTCCTCCCTCGGCTGAGGAGACCGCTGAAGTCGAGCCTGCTCCTTCTGAGGCAGACCTTTAGCAGCAGCCGGATGCTTCTGAGCGTCCACAACGCACTCGTCGTCGTCCTGCTCGATACGACGAATGACTTTGACCTATCTTCCCACTTCTTTGACTTCTCAGTACTCCATCCACTCCTGTTTTGCCACTTTAGCTCGTCGACGTTGCGGCTCTTCCTCGACGACATTCCAGACTTCTCATAATGGACGTCATCGACAACTTCATGGACTTCGTCACGATCAGCTCTGCCGACTTCAGACGTCGTCACTCTCTTACCACCTTACCCTGTACAGTACCCTGGTTGTGTCGCATGATGGTCTCCCTTCGTCGGGTTCCTCTGAGTTGGGCTCTCCCTTGGTATACGCATAGGCATCGGGACCGTAGCGTTGCCTTGGCTTCCCAGCTTACAGATCCAGCTCCGACTTCCCCCACCTTAGGAGTCATTTGCATGGTTCCCTTACCCATCACTTTTTCTAACCTCTGTCGACCCTCACGCCCTAGTTAGGCAGCCTCACATGCTTCATATAGGTGCGCCCAGTATACCAAGCTCCCTTGTTCCCTTGCACGGTCGACCCTCCATAGCGGTCACCCCTTTAGTCGAGCATTACCCGCCCTGATGGTCTATCTGTTAGGGTCATTGGTTTCGTTCGCTCCCAGTTCCCTACCCTCATTGAGCCTGATGACATGTGTTCCCCTGTCATTATGTGTGGATGCCCTTAGGAGTTATCGACCCTAGGCTGCATTCGCCACCCTCAGAGACCATCCCACCCTTTGGTTTGTGACACACTCCTCCTGTGACATATGGTTGACTTGTTGTTGGTTTGTTGCTCTCATGCTGAGGCTACTGCCTCTGACATTTCTAGGATTTAGTTGTTATGCCTTTGCTGTTCTTAGGACTTATACTCTAGTCAGTTGTTTCCAGACTGAGGCTACTGCCTCCAACATTCTAGGATCTAGTTGTCATTACTTCCTGCTTTCCTAGGACATGTATGCTATTTAGTTGCTTCTGCTTTCACTTAGGCTGTTAGTTGTCACATTGCTGTTTTTTGTGACATTTTCTATCCTAGGTTGCATCGCATGGACTCAGCATGGAGCTTGCTCCGCATCCTAGACTACTCAGGTTTTCTTTGGTAGAGTTCCGCTTCTTGGCGAAGCGTGCTCGTATCTAGGCGATCCATCACAGGCCGAGGATCGTGTAGCGGACCTCTGGTTGGCCTGTGAGACCAGCCCCTTGGCCTGTTCTCACAAGCCTGTGTTGTATTCTGGGCAGTCCAATCCAGGCCGGTACCTCTGTCGGTACCAGCCAGTCCAGTCCAGTCCGGTCAGTTCGCTGGGGTATACCCCAGCTGTTGTTGGTTTTCCGGATCATTCTACATTCGCACTGCGTTGGAGTCTAGCGTGGGAGCTACGCTTTGCCATCTCACCCCCCCCTTTCTTCCTTCATCTCCATCTCTATCCCAGGCGGAGCACCACACCAGGTGGGTCCGCCACAAGCACAAAAGTTGGCCTTCAGAGAAAAGAAGGGGGGGAGTCTCCAGAAGCAACGGTTGGAGACTTACCTACTGGCGAGGCTTACCTGTTGGCCGTTGTGTCACTCTCCCTGCTGACGGAGGAGTCAGCCGCCACGTCGCTAGGTAAGTCCCCTCACACTCATTCTCTGTCCCGTAGTAGTAGTGGTAATAATAGTACTAGTAGCATAGTATAGTTCCATACTTTAGGAGTAGATACATGAGACCTTACACATCCTATCTATGGCAAGTCAGCCCGTTCGTCGGGACGAACAGGCAGTTTCGAAAAATCGCGAACCAAAACAAAAACCAAGAAAATCAAAAAGAAAAACGAATCTAAAAGGGAATCTAAAGCAAATCTAACACAAAAACAAAAAAAACTAAAGGAAATCTAAAAAAAAAAAAAAAAAGCGTACCTTACTGCAGAAAAACGGTCGCCCGTTTTTAGGGGCGACTGTCGACTGCACTGGGGCTTAAAACGCCCGAGTTACTTCACATTGCGCCAGTTGGCGCTTCACGTTAGTTTTAGTTTTAGTTTTTTTTTTTTTTTTTTTTTTTTTTTTTTTTTCAACGGTCTTGTTTTGTTCCTGGGAATCCCACGAACTATCGAGATACAGATCCCAGTTGCGATCGAAAAATAAATTTGGACCATTTCTCGGTTTATGCGTGTCATCCATGCACAGAGGCCATGTTTGATCCGCGCGGCCGATCTGAACCGCGCGATCCTTCCGATCGAACGACCATAATCGACCGCGCCGACAGCAGCTCCAAAAGGAGCTAGCCCAGTGACACAGTATCTCAGATTCGATCCCGGTATCTGCCCGGTGAGAATCCTGGACTGTAACCAATTGGGCTAGCTCCTATCATGGGAGCTAGACCTGCGCCTCCTCTATATATAGAGGTGTAGTCCCCAGTAGGCCCAACCCACACTCAATAGGCCCAGCCTGCCTTTCCCAGCGCTTCCCCTGTGGATGGCTGCCCATCCACGACTCGAAGATCACTCACGCGGGTGGCCTCAGCCTTAGCCTTTTGGCCCCCTTGTCTCAAAGTCAATGTCCGTGGCCCTGAATCTTCCTATTCCTTCTATGTGGCAGCCCCGTACTTTCTCGGTTTATGCGTGTCATCCATGCACAGAGGCCATGTTTGATCCGCGCGGACGATCTGAACCGCGCGATCCTTCCGATTGAACGGCCAGAATCAACCACGCCGACAGCGTTCGGAGTGGGCAGCTCCAAAAGGAGCTAGCCCAGTGACACAATATCTCAGATTCGATCCCGGTATCTGCCCGGTGAGAGTCCTGGACTGTAACCAACTGGGCTAGCTCCTATCACGGGAGCTAGACCTGTGCCTCCTCTATATATAGAGGTGTAGTCCCCAGTAGGCCCAACCCACACTCGATAGGCTCAGCCTGCCTTGCCCAGTGCTTCCCCTGTGGATGGCTGCCCATCCACCGCTCGAAGATCACTCACGCGGGTGGCCTCAGCCTCAGCCTTTCGCCCCCCCTGTCTCAAAGTCAACGCCCGTGGCTCTGAATCTTCCTATTCCTTCCATATGGCGGCCCCGTACTTTCTCGGTTTACACGTGTCATCCATGCACAGAGGCCATGTTTCATCCGCACGGCCGATCTGGACCGCGCGATCCTTGCGATCGAACGGCCAGAATCCACCGGGCCGACAGCGTTCGGAGTGGGCAGCTCCAAAAGGTGCTAGCCCAGTGACAAAGTACCTCAAATTCGATCCCGGTATCTGCCTGGTGAGAGTCCTGGACTGTAACCAACTAGGCTAGCTCCTATCACGGGAGCTAGATCTGCGCCTCCTCTATATATAGAGGTGCAGTCCCCAGTAGGCCCAACCCACACTCAATAGGCCCAGCCTGCCTTGCCCAGCGCTTCCCCTGTGGATGGTTGCCCATCCACGGCCCGAAGATCACTCACGCGGGTGGCCTCAGCCTCAACCTTTCGGCCCCCCTGTCTCAAAGTCAACGCCCGTGGCCCTGAATCTTCCTATTCCTTCCGTGTAGCGGCCCCGAGCTTGGCACGATTATCCATTTCAGCCTACTTAAGCTCTGAATCACGCGGCTGCGACATTATTTTAGGTAGACTAAGTCTAGCTTTAGTCTTTCCATGACCGCGCACCCCTGCGGCCTTGTCGGGAACCGCGGATGACAAGTCGTACCGCTGACTCCTGTTGTTACGATCGAACGCCAATGACGACATACGTCAACGATGTCAGGTGTTAGGTGGATCAGTTATAGGGTTGGTCTGAATAAACTTTGGCAACGTCAATCTCATCATATTCCTCAAATCCAACGAAAAGAGTCGGACAGCGCCTGACCATGAAAAACTCGGGCAGAAACCCTCTCAGGGTTTCTGTCCCGATAGCGTCACCAGAGAGGGGGGAGGCAGACGAATTGTCGATGCCCGATCCATGTCCTGGGGACTAAGTTCATGATGAGGAGGGATCCGCGCTTGCCGAGGCCGGTGATGCGGAGGTTGCGGGTCGAGTGGAGGCGGACTGGCGGGTGAATTGTGCGGTGTTGGGGCAGTTGGTTTGTTGGTTCCCCAATTGGCAACAACAGAAGCAACCCCCTTTTGCTTGGAGGTAGGTGCGCTCCTCRGGGGTGAGTTTCTTGAGGCGGGAGGTTGGGGTAGATGAGGGTGGTCAGGAGCTGCGATCTCTGCGTTCCATCCTCATGAATTGGACGACATTGAGTTCGTCGGAAATGAGGGATGAAGAGTCGAGTGAATCGGAAGATGCGTCGGGGTTAGGTGTGGTGAACTCGTTCGAGGAAGTGATGGAGGTGGTGTCTTCAGGGGTGATGTGGTGGAAAAAACGGGTGCGGGAGGGCGCAGGCGCGGGCTGGTGGTGGGGGTGGAGCAGTCGATCGTGGTGAAGCATGCGAGAGAGGAGGTCAACAAGGGGCATGTCGGGTTCGTGGGCGAGGGCGGTTGCAAGGTCTTTGTGGCATACTCGTTTGATGCGGGAGATGAATGCAGAGTCAGGAATGAAGGTGGTGGGGAGGTGGTGGCAGAGGGAGCGGACGTATTGCACGAAGCGGTCCGTGGGACCGGTCTTGCGGAGGTGGCAGAATTGTTCAAGGTAGTCATCAATGGTTTTCT